CTTATGTAACAAAAAAAAAAAAAAAAAAAAAAAAAAAAAAAAAAAGGAACCTTATACAAGTCTTAAGCCATGCAAAGTTCACCGACCATAATCGAGATCAATTACCACAATTCATGGGTCTCTGGCAGTCCGGTTCCTTGAAACTGGAATTCCAGTGTACCATGATATATGGAGAATAAAAAGTAGATTAAATGTCAAAAATAAATAAAACTTAAAAAACTGAAAATTCTGTTGTACCATGATATATGCAATCCATTGATTTTATGGACTCTAATTTAAGTATTTATGAATTTTTTAGCACATGGATGGATGTAGTCAAGTTGTGTGCAAGGAACCAAAGTGATATGTGTAATATTGAAAACTTACAACTCTATATTAGGTAACCTAGTATACGCTATGCGCCATACACCAGGGCTAAGAGCACATCAAATCCGATGCCAGTACCGCAAACCCAAACATAAAAAAGATCCTAATAACTCTGGTTTTGGTAGAACCTACCATTCAACTATGTGAATTTTTTTTAATAACAAAGGTGGTAGATGTGTTTTAGCACAGTTGCAAACACACAGAAAGTGTAACATAAAGAAAGTCCCAGTAACTGCAATTATGGGTGATCACAACCAATGGAAAGCCGCTTTGCTGTTATCACTAATTTCAAATTCTTGACTAAGTCATGCTATGCAACTGTGCACACCAATACTAAGTGAGACTTAATTCAGAGGTTAGTTTGATATCAACTAGCATGCAGACCCTTTGATGTTTTGTTCCCAGACTGCAGCAGTGATTTTCTATTAAATACCATTGAAAGCTTGCATTCCACACGTCTGTGAACTTCAGAACCAGTTATGTGAAATATAAACCACCTAACTATGGTGAAACCAACCGTAACCACCAAATAGAACCTAATAACCATGTCCTATAGAAGATAATAAAAAATCCAGTTGAAGTAACAAGTATAGAATAAATTATTCGAAAAGGTTGTACCATAACAAGGGATGCATATGAAAATCCTGAACCAACTGCATCCACGATGGAATGATCACAATCATGATAAATCCAAGTGAAGAAAAGAAGATAACAGATCTCCAAATCCCGTTGTTTGTCCTCACTTCACATTCGGAGAACAAATTTAAAGGCCATTGGGAAAAGAAGGCCAAGCAGCAACACCTGCATAAAATAGAATGATGGGTTTCCAGCCAGACCACTTGCGATCAATTTCATCTATTAAGAAAGCATACCTGCATAATAATACTAATCTCACTTCATTTACTTCCATAATGTAACACCTCTGATTTCATAAAAAAACCCAGACATCTGTGTGAGAAATGTCATAACCAATAGGATGACTACATATAAGCAGTTTGACCAGAGAAAAAAAAAAACCAATTAGAGCAGAAAAGAAATAACCTTTTCAATGGTATATGCCAATATGTCACCAAAATAGAGAACAAGACCTGAAGTCGCTAAACACGCTTCCCCTAGAGAGAAACAAAAGACATGCAACATCAACATCTACTGAGAAAAAACCAGAGAAATACCCCAAAATAATAATCATCAGAGAGAGGTATAAATACAAAGAAAATAAAGTGAGGGAGAGAGAGAGAGATCTGCACATTAGCTGACTAATGATATAGCACTTCAACTTGAAGTGTTCAATATGAATTAATTAATGTCATACTATTATGGATAAATAACTTAAATGTCCAGACGAACTTATCGACTGGGCAAATGCATATTCGTGTTTTTTTAGTTGTGTAACCACTGAAAGCCACTAAAACATGAGGGGAACATCAGCAAGCAGTGAATAGTCAATCTATTCCTATGAAGCTATAGCAACCATTTCAATTTAGCAGTTACGTTTTGTCCCCTTCAATCAATAAGAAAAATTCCATTGCATTTTGCAAGAACAAGTAAGTGAAATAGAAAAAGTAGCAAGGCATATACCAATGGAAGAACATGATGGGAAAGTTCTAAGAACATGCTGAATTAATTTTACAGCTGCCAATCCATGAGAGAGGATCCATAATAACTTTAATGCAGTCTCAAAGCCTGTATGGAATGAGCAGATCAAGTTTCAGTTTTCCAATTACTATTGGCTTAAGCATAAGTAGAGAACACTTTCCATGTTATCAATTCAGAAAAGAGGATTCAAAGACATGCAGGAAACTTACTTGTAAGAGATACTGTACCAAGAGTCAGACAGCACACTGCATTGTGCAATATTATGCAACTTAAGCTAAACTTTGCATGCCTAATACTACGTGAAGGTGGAGCAATATTCCCAGATGCACACGATATGGTTATGCAGAGAAAAATCAGCACACACAGGCAGCTGGCAGAAGCAGCCCAGTATCGCATCGTCAAAGATTCAAGTTCTGGATGGTAACATTGAACATATCATCAGCATAATAGAGAGGAACCATATCAGACAAGGGTGAGACGAAACAGTGGGAAGCATGGAACCCTATCAGATTGTAAAATCAATTAAATGCATCATATGAAAAAGTTTACCGGTTAACACAAAACGTTTCAAAAGTTTACATCCAGAGAGAGAGAGAGAGGCAGAATTAAGAATTAAGAATCAACATTATTTTCTCTTACTATAGTAGCCGACATTCACCTCTCCCAGACCCTGCGTAAAGCGGGAGCCTTGTGCACTGGGTACGACCTTTTTTTTTTATAGTATCAAGTGCAAATTCAGCAGAATTAAGAATCAACATAAATATGTGGTTAAAAAAGGAATTACTTCAAAATACGCATAATTATTCTCATGTGCAAATGGAAGGTTTCTTTTGATCTTCAGACACAAGAACTCCATTTTCCCATCTCATCTATTCTTTCATGCTTTTCCCCACTAGCCACATTTCAAATCTAGTCAAATATCGCCTATTGCCTTATCTATAGTATCTGAGGTAAACTAAGAATTTACCATGACACTGTGTCAGACCTAATGTAACAACATTATCTTATTAAACCCAGTTGTCCGATAAATAGCACAGGCTTCCAAAATCCCAAATGGCACAAGGTTGAATAGCCCACAGAATTTAAAACCAGAGCATGTTCACATGATCAACAGAATCCAGTCACATTCAATCGTGGACTCCACAAGGGATCCCACCAGTAACGAAAAGTTCATGTCTATTACTCAAACATAACCGTAAAGGTTTGAACTTTTCCAGCTAATCTGTACAGTGATGGAACTCAAGATGATACATTTACTAATTTGATGCTAATTAAGATTAGGAGCGACGGATAACGGTGAATTGAAAACTACACAAAGTACCTTCAATAGAAACTTGGTGCAACGAAACCGCCAGCGAAAGCTGTATCGTTTTGGATATGAAAACAGTGGGCAACGCGACAGCCCCTAACAGTATACCCGACGAAGCACCAGGCCTGAAACATTAAAATTACAGTCAATGCCCACATTCAACACTGGACGAACCCTAACAAGAGCAATTGAAAAAACTGAAGGAGAAGAGTAGGAGTAGTACCTGGTGCTAAATTGGGAGAGGGAGGTGGAAGAATCAGTGAGGATGTCGAGGGAGAGGGCGAGGAGAGAGATGGTGAGAGAGAAGAGGACGCGAGAAATGAACAGCAACACCACAGCTCTCTCTCCGTTCATCATTCCGGCCATCGCAAATGCCATGGCCGCCATTGAAATTGGCGATCCTAAGCTTGTTCTATCTTCGAGACGACGGAATTGGAATCGATTGAAGGATCGGAGAAAGGACCGATGAGAGGTAGGAGTCGTTGGGTTTTTTTCGCGGGAATTGGCACCAACTTGTCGCCTTTTTCCTTTGTTTTTTTTTTTTTAACAATTAAGATATGTCATTTTAAATTGTTCTCAACCTTTTTAAATACTAAATAAATATCCAACTTATTAAAATGTCACATTTGTTAACCCCAATTAATTTTTCAAACATGAATTATATTTCAAGCGCCCCAACTGGTTATATACTATGGACAATATTAACATTGATTGCCTCAAAATCTAAATTTCAAATATAAATTATACAAAATAGAACCCAACCAAAAAGGTATTGAATTGTCGAAAATAGACCCAAATTGAAGTTACATCAGTAGGGCAATCTCTTAACAGAGAAGAGGTTTAAGATTTCAGAAAGGGTTTCAAGGAGTTGTTCCTGCTCATGTGATTTCCTTATTGTGACGATTCTCGATTGGTAAAGCTTCTAGTTCTTCTTTGCGGACGATGAAGATGGTGGTCGTCACATCATGGCAGTTCATACCATTTCAGCAACCTCTATGACCTTCTTGATATTGGCAGCCTAAGTTGTAGGGTGGAGTTGGTGGTTTTGCATTAAGTTTGAAGGTGATAACATGATGCGGGTGGTGGTAACTGTTAGTTGGTGAAGGCTATGCTTCCATGACCTTCTATTGATTTTGGAGACAAAGTAAGCCTACTTAATTTAACAAACTTTCAACTGGGGTTAACAGATGTGACATATTCAATAGGTTGAGTGCTTATTTGGAATGTTAAAAAGCTTTAGACCAATTTAGAGTGACACTAAAGGTTGGGAGTTCTAAGTACTTAATCCTTTATTTTATTGTGGTCTAATTCGACTATGACTTTCAAACATAAATAAATAACCCTGTAAAAAAAAAAGGTACCGCTATTTACAAACTATTTTTACTTTTCATACACCTCTCTCAATTTTTATTTTGACAGCAACCAATCAAACACGACCGAAGACGTTTGGCAGCCACCGACTGAAATCAGTGGAATATTTCGGCAGCCACCAACCAAGCTCAACCCAAGTCGTTTGGCAGCCACCGACCAAGCCCAGCCCAAGTCGTTCGGCAGCAAGCGCCTACGCCAGAATCAACTTGAAGGATGTCCTGAAGAGACAATATAGTAGCCAACACACACAGCGCGTAACAAGCATGTCAACAAAATTAGACAAATAACAACAGAAAAAACATCAAAACATTACTACTCCAATGCATCTAAATATCATTGTATAAAAACACAAATCATCTGTAAGCAAAGTCGGTGATAAAACATTTCAACTCGATGCATTTTAAAGTCCAATGCAACGCCATTCGTCTCAATATCAGTTTTAAGTCTTCAACTATGTCATATCCTCTAAGTAGCTCACATTACTGACTCCTAGCTCTTAGATTTTTACTTTATGAGCAAACTCCCCGTTGTTTAACTGCGTCCAGGCTCCTTTCTCTTCTCCACTGTAGGTGATGTTAAGAAATCCGTCGTCATCCTTATTTGCCTTATCGATTACATACATCGAGGTACCTGTGTGCAACAACATTGGACGAAATTAGAGTTATTACCACAGTTTGGGAACAAGATGGATGGATATCCTTATGCCGATTGTCGCTCTAAAACAAAATATTTTGGCAGCTCTGCTTACCAGCGGGAGGATCAGTGTTCTTGAAATAGAGAAACAAAGGCTTTGTCCATGGCCTTCCTTCTTTCCACTCGATCCGAATCCGAATAAACTCAATAAATTCGCTCAGAGGCAAATCGAAATGAACTTGGAATCTGCAGTCACAAACACAGTGTAGGCGATAAATCTGTGTGCGAACCCCTTCACATAGACAAGCAATATAACTTACTTATTTCTCTTCCCTCTTTTTTCTGACCGACTTCGTAACGAATGACATAACAAAAGGAAAGCAAAAATAAAGCATACGTATAAAAGGGGACAATCTTGTTCACAAATCAAGAAAATAAAGCAAAAAGATGTCGGGAACTAACTTCTTCATGCAAATGTCAGGAATTTTACTGCTTGTATCCTTCTTCACATTCACCTGCACAGCACAAAGACTCAAATTACAAGAAGGTATTAATTCATAGAGAGAATTAACACATTTGACGTGGTCAAATTCTTACTGGTATATGATCTGGTCTTTTCTTCCTCAACAGCCAAGGATTTAGCTCACGCTCTTGGCATAACTCCCATAAACTGAACATAACTCAAAACCATACATGTAAAATTAACTAACCCATCAGTTTCAATTTAGAACTACAAATCAAGAGAATTAAAGCACAAGGGAACTGGAAACTAACTGCTTTCCGATAAAAGTGGATAATTCAGCAGCAGGTTTTCCCTCGAGCGCAGCCTTCTCCTCAAGCTGAGCCTACTCCGCCATCACATGCATAGCAAACTCAAATTAGAACGGTATATCCCTGGAATGTGTAGAACGTAAAAATACTCGATACAAGTTCAAATTCTTACCATATGCTCCTTGTTAAGATGATCATTCCAAGTGTCTAACATAACAATGCCTTTTGACAAAATAAAATCCCCTTTTATCCTACAAGCATAAGTGAAGGGAATAATCTTATTCCATAGTAGCAAATACAAATCGAGATATTTAAAGCACAGTGAATTGAGTTGAAGACTAACTTCCTCTTCTTCATCTTGACGACCTCGCCAAGAATTAAGTCACACATTTGAGCGTCATACTCAACAATCTACGTAAAACATTCAAATTAGAACAGGAGTATGTTCATTGAATGACTAAGAAATAAACATGTGTGAACTACAATTCTTAATGGTAATTTATCAATGCATCTACTGAGTACCCCTTTCTCTTCTCCCCCGCTATAGGTCATGTGAAGAAATCCATCTTCACCCTTATTTGCATCATCAATTTCAGACATCAAGGCCCCTGTAACAGAGCAAGAAGAAGATAGTTATTAAAACAGCAGTTGATGCGGAATCAGGATGAATAGTATTATGCCTTCGGCAAAAATGGATTGCAGCCATGCTCACCACTGTGAGGTTCAGTGTTGTTGAAATAGACAAACATAGGTTGGCCTGCTCGAATTCGAACACAATTTCGAATATAATTAACAAACTTTTTGAGAGGCACATCACGACGGACGTGGTACCTGCAGTCAGAGACACACAATAGGCCATAAAACCATGCACGAGCCCCTTCATCCAAGATAGGATATGAAGACAAGTTAGGTTGGAGTTTGCCTATGCAATATCAAGCACATTTTCTTTTTTGCATGCAAATGTTATATAATTACATGGAGTATGAAAATTGTTTGGTAGGAAGTCGTCGCTGCCTAGGCAGCCATTTCGTGTTAACCACGATGTAAATAGTCTTAGAACATCACCTGATGTATCAGATCAATCACCCCCCCCCCCCCCCCCGGTCCACGTCGTTTTTGTTTTTTTTTGTTGTTTCGTTTTGTTTTCACACGTGACTAAATGCTATCTGTGGGCATGACAAGTAGTACTGGCCCTTCAAGATGGATTTTGGAACAAATGATATACCGAAAGTATACATAAAACAAGGGACAATCCCATTCCATTATAGTGATAAACATAAAGATAGCCAAAGCAAAAGAGGAATCCGAGACTAACTTTGTCATCTCCAACCCAGGAATGTTACTCCCTGCAAGTTTTCTCAACGCTAACCTGCACGGAAGCTCAAATTAGAATAGGGACAGGTTATTACCTCCATTGAATGCATAGGAGGAAAAGAAAATGAAGAAAAAACCAAAACAACATAACGATGCAGTCAAAAACTTACTGGGACAAGATCTGGTTGGCTATCCCTCAATTTCCAAGCATTTATAGTGTATTCATTGTACTCCTCCAAAAATGACCTGAACATACATCAAAAGCGTAGATGAGAAAAATAACGATCCCATTATTCCATTTCCATTGCATCGAAGCAAACGAAGACAGGTAAAGCACAAGGGAGCTGGAAACGCACATTGCCTCTTTGTACGAGGTAGAGGAGAGATTTACGTCTGTGAGCCTAGATTTGTCTGCATGCATAGCCTTGTCCGGAATCATGTGCATAGGGGATCAAATTAGAACATAGTATCCATGCACACACAATGCATAAGTAGGGAGTAGGACGGATGTAAACATATATATATATATATATATATTAGATTCAGCTCAATTCTTACCATGCTAGCCTTGTAAAATGAAGAGTTCCAATGGTCCAATGGTTCAATGGGTCTCGGAATAACAGTAACTCCTGGAATCTCGCATCTGCAGAGAATGTTCCCTGAAAATTTCAAACAACAAAAACATGATCATCACAAGAAGAAGTCGTCTTCCAAAATAAAATTACAGAGTACAGAAGGCATCACATCACAAAGAGTAAAAATAATTCGCTACGTTTCTGTTCAGATGCTTGGGACTTTTGAGCGTACGTCGATCGTCATTGTGTTTTCAATATTATTATTATTTTTTATTTATTTTCATAATTTTTTGTGGGTCGTCGTCTTGGTTTTTCAAGTCTAGTGCTGTAAATTTGAGTCGCTCATGGCGTTTTGGGATTCCAAAATCACCAGCATGTATCAACTGGTGGTATGCTCGATTGCAATTTTAAGACGTTGAGTGCTGTTTTTTTTTTTTTTTTTTTTTGGAAACGGTTGAGTGCTGTTGTTTTGGTTATGTGGTTGCGGGGTGTTTTATAACCTCAATTGGTGGCTGTAGGTATCGATAACCTCTGAAATTGCATCAAAAAAGATCAACAGGGATGTCATTAAGCAGCTTGTTCGTCTGTTCAAGGAGTCTCACCTGGGAACAAGGAAGAAAATATCGGTAATATCGAAAATATCGGTAGTCCGAAAACACGGAAATATCGATGGAAATATCGGGATAATATCGATATCGATAAAAATTACATAGAAACCACGGAAATTGTAAGAAAAACTTGGAAATTTTTAATGAAACTTTGCAGGATGTTTATTTAGTCAATTATCTATTAGTTTATCACAAAAAATTGGAAGGAAATGCATTGCATGATGGATTTAACTGATTTAAGTTGATTATATAGCGAGCTGACAAATTTTTCACTCTTTAAGGTTCAAAATTTTCACTCTTTCCCTGAAATTATATATTTTCACTTTTTCCCTGAAATTGAGTCCTTTATCCTAATCTAATCTGAACCCCCAGATTAATTTATATTTTCACTCTTTCCCTGAAATTATATAAATTGTACAATTGAGTCTTTTATCCTAATCTAATCTGGACCCTCCATCTTGATTCTCACCCTCTGTCACGCTGCCACGTGGCAGACCACTAACCTCACCCTATCTCTCTCTGTCTCTTTTCCCGAGTCCCTCTCGGACCCCTCACCTCACCCTATCTCTCTCTCTCTTTTCCCGAGTCCCTCTCGGACCCCTCACTCTCTCTCAGTTCTCAACTCTATCTCTCTCTCGAACTCTCATTCTCTCACCCCATTTTCTCCGGCGCCGACTCTGGCTTCGGCTGGAGTCGGTTGCCCTTTCCCCCTTCCTCCTCCTGTTTTTCTCTTGTTTTTCCCTTCTCGGTCTGTTCCTCTGTCTTTTCTTCTTTCTTTTCTTCTTCTGTTTTTCTTTTTGCTTTCTCCTGCGTCCTTTCCCGATCCGGCCATGTCCTCTACCCACCCCCAGCGGCGATCATCCTCCTTCATCTTTCAGATCCGACATGCAACTGCTTTCAAACCGCATTTTGCTGCGCGGTATTTCGAGAGGGTGCGTTGAGATCCGGCATGCAGCTGCTTTCAAACCCAGCCGTCGACACCACTCCATAACCGCCTTCTAAACCACCTTGTTCCATGGAGAAGCTGTGTCGTTAGTCCCAGTCGTCGAGTCGTAACTGTCGCGTCATAGCAAATCAACGATTGTGGAGAAACTGAGCGGAGGCAGCGGACACCGGACGATGGACCGAAATTCATCGTAGTCGTCGGTGAGGAGCACGACGTTGTCCCAGCCGTCTTGGATTCGTGAGGAAGACGACGTTCCCAGGCTCCTACTTCTCTTCTTCTCGGTTTGTAATTTAATTTTTGTACAGATTTCGAATTTTCTGCATGTAATTTCATTTTTGTACTGAATTCGATTTTAGGGATTTAGGAATTAGGGATTCAGTTCATTTGCTTTGAATTCGAATTTGGGGATTTAGGGATTCGGTTAATTTGCTCTTGCGTTCTTCTCCGATTTGAACAGTTCCAAAATATCGCGATAGTTTCGAAAATATCGCGATATTATCGATATTATCGATAATATCGCGATATTTTGCCGAAAACAATTTGGATAGTTAAAAAAATATCGGAACCCCAAAAAAACGATAATATCAGCGAAATATCGCCGATATTATCGATATTTTCTTCACTGCCTGGGAAAGAGAAAGCCTGCAGCTTACGATGGCATGAAAAGTGTTCATACAGCAGGGCCCTTACCATTTTCCATGAAAGAGTTTGTGGTCAAGTTGGCCGAAACGGATGGACGGCAGGGTTCTGCTGCTGCTGGTCCCAACAGGTATAATCTGTATCAGAGTTCCGTGCTTGTGTGCTGTTTTGTTTACGTATATATTTTGTAGCTGTTGCAGTTTTCTGACTCTTTTCTTCTCTGTATCTGGACGGCTCATTATTTACTTTCGTTTGAGCTATTTTGATTGAATTTGCAATATCATATATCAAAAGGGGTAAATATGAAAAGAAAATCAAATTGAGTTATGACGGTGTTCCATGGTAGCACAACAAACATTAATAACTTATTATCCATCTTTGCATTTTACCTTCAGTCTAGAAGACAAGAGTAGAATTTCACCCTGCGTAAAGCGGGAGCCTTGTGCACTGGGTACGGCCTTTTTTTTAGTATTTGTTTCCGGTTTTTGAATGTTGTTTTCTTTGCATCAGAATGGCTCACAGGAGGGGCCGAGAGTTCAAGGTCACTCTCAAATTGGCTAGCAAACACGACCTGTACCAGCTGCAACAGTCGCTACGAACCGGGCAACATGAGTCGCCTCAAGACGCAGCTCAAGTTCTGGATGTTGTTCTTAGGGCCACACCTGATGAAAAGTAAAGTCTCTATTTAGTACAATGGCATAAGATTTCTTTTGTCCTTGTATGCGTTGTTTATTCACTGACGATGGTTTTGATCCTTGTAATTTCTATCACAGGTACACTGTTGGAGGGAGGTCTTATTTCACCATTGAGCCTTGGCAGAAAGGTGATCTTGGTGAGGGTCTGGAATACTGGAGAGGCTTCTACCACTAAGGCCGACTCAGTATGGGTTTTGGCTCAATATAGGTTAGGCATTGACCAAAATTTCTTTGTTTTGATAATCATTAGAACTTCAGTAACAAGAGTGTTGTGACTAACTTTTGTTGTTCATGTATTTGCAGATGTATCGGCCGGAGCATTTTATGAACCTATTCTGGTAACTGAGTCTGTGAAAGAACTTTTGAACTACAGAGAACTGTCAAGGCCTTTGCCTGATCGTGATCGTTTGAAGGTACACTCCATTTTTGTGTTGATTTTTTTTCATGCAGTTTTGATAGGGAAATTATCCAAAAGTAAAGCTATATGAAGAAAAAAAAAATACAACGTGAATATGATGAATTGATAGTTTGTTGTTATATTTTACCGGTCTGAAAAACGAAATACAAGTTCTGTATACTAGGTGTAGCTTATATTTACCCGGATTTGCTAGTATTTATGCTCATTCAGTTTTGAAGCTGCATTCTGTTTTAGCATGTAATCATTTGCTTTTATTTTGAATTCACTTGTTGATTTCGGATTCACTTCCTTTGGATCAGGTGTAGATATTCACGTAGATTAATTTGTTCGGAGTTTTATGTATTTACTTGTATTTTTCCATAAATGGTTACTTAAAGTATTTGTGTTGAACAAAACTGATTGGTATTCTGTTACTTACAGGTGGAGAAGGCCTTAAAGGGGTTCAAGGTAGCACTTTCTTGTCGTGATAATAGATCTTACAAAATCACTGGGGTCTCAGTGGAACTGCTGAGCAAGTTGATGTGAGAGTCTCGTAATCTTCTCGACGTTTATTCTTATATCTTGTTTATACGTATGTAGATTGTTGTGGTACTTGACTCGCTTGAAATGTAGAACTAGAACTTTCATGCTCATTATCTACTTTCATTTGTGCTATTTTGATTGAATTCGCAATATCATAGATGTAAATATGAAACGAAAATCAAACTGAGTTATGGTGGTGTTCCATGGTAACACAACATTAACAACTTATTATCCATCCTTGCGTTTTAGGTTCATTCTAGAAGATAAGAGTAGAACTTCAGTAGTACAGTCTTTGTTGCGGTTTTTTGAATGTCGCTGTCTTTGTATTTAAATGGCTTACAGGAGGGACCGAGAGTTCAAGGTCACTCTCAAACTGGCTAGCAAACCAGATGTGCATCAGCCGCGACAGTTCCTGCTAAGCCATCAGCATGAGTCGCCTCAAGATGCAATTCAAGCTCTGGATGTTGTTCTTAGGACCACACTTGATGAAAAGTAAGGTCTCTCTTTGGTAGAAGGGCTTAAGATTTATTTTTTCCTTGTATGCGTTGTTTCCTCACTGACGACGGTCTTGATCGTTGTAATTTCTATCACAGGTGCACTGTTGTCGGGAGGTCTTATTTCGCCATTGAGCCTCGGCAGAAAGTTGATGTTGGTGCGGGTCTGGAATACCGGGGAGGCTTTTACCTGAGCCTAGGGCCGACTCAACTTGGGGTCATGCTCAATATAGGTAACGCATTAACCAAAATTTCCCTGTTCTGATCTGATAATCATATGAAGTTAAGTAACAAGAGTGTTGTGACTAACTTTTGTTCACATATTTGCAGATGTATCAACCGGAGCATTTTATGAACCTATTCTGGTAACTGAGTTTGTGGAAAAACTTTTGAACCACGGAGAAGTGCCAAGGCCTTTGCCTGATTGTGACCGTTTGAAGGTACTCTCCGTTTTTGTTTCGATTTGTTTCATGTTGTTTTGATAGGCAAGGTATCTAAAAGTAAAGCTATATGAAAAAAGTACAGGGTGAATATGCTGAGTTGATAGTAATTAACTTTACCTGTCTGGACAACGAAGTAGAAGCTATAGGTTATATTTATGCAGATTTTGCTAGTATATAGGCTGATCATTCAGTTTTGAAGCTGCATTTTGTGTATATATCTGACTGAGAAAGGTGATTTCACGTTCTGGAAACACTCGAGTCATATATTTCACTGCTTCCCAACTAGTTAAAGTTGACTTAAATGTGTCTGAATAGCAAAACCTCTGTTATCTCTCTGGTTGTCTTTTGGTTGTGTGTTGTATTTCAGTGTAGTTTGGCCTGGCCTGTGTTACTAGTCTCTGTTCCGGCTCTTGGTTGTAATTCATTTTTGTCTTGCTGGCCTCTAGTCCTGGATGTTTTCTGTATTCTGCCTTTTTGTGACCCGAACAAAAAGTTAAAAGACTAGTATTACTTGATAATTTTCAACTTTATGCTGGTTTTGTAGGATCTGGTCACTACTGCTTCTGGCCTGGACCCTAGTGGTGGACAAGGACACCACCAAGCTGGCGGCAGCAGCAGTGGTGGAGGCGACGCCGGAGGTGGTAGTTTCGAGAGCGATGCCCGAGGTGGCAGAGATGATGGAGGCGATGGAGGTGACGCCGGAGGTGGTGAAGGCGGCGACGCCGGAGGTGGTGGAGGTGAAGGCGGCAGCGATGGAGGTGGCAGAGGTGACGGCGCGTAGCCTTTAGTAAGAAGACCTGTGAATCTATACCAAAATCAGCTTGGTGAAGATGTCTTCGTTGCGATATTGTATCCCGAAGAGTACACTAATTTATGGGCATTTCTTCCAGCAATACGAGTGCGAGAATGGCGACCGTTGGACCAGATTTGGTACACTTACCGGGACAGTGCTACCAGAGCTCTGAGGCTAATAGATGGGACTGCCGACCTCTTTCTTCTTGGCTGGTCAACGATCCGGGCTGGTTTGACCAAGCTTGTGCTATCCTCACGCGTCCACGGGACGATTTCCGTAAAAATAAGGGCAAGAGTAAGAGTTGTTGAGAAGGGGGCTGAGGAGGAGGCTGAGCAGGATCTTGATGGGCCAGTCCGCTACCATATCCACCGGGATGAGGTAACCACCTTGGAACAGTTCATGATACTAATATTTTGGTCTCCAGTTTATACAGCATTTAGGGCCGATGAGCAATGGCTTGATTTCAGTACGGTGTACATCATGGGCACCGGTGAGCGACTAAGTTGGAGACAACTTTGTGATCACGTCGAGGTCACTAGTTGGGAAGTCTACTTTGTGATCACATCATGGGCACCTGTTCCCAACTAGTGACCTCGACGTGATCACAAAGTTGTCTCCAACTTAGTCGCTCACCGGTGCCCATGATGTACACCGTACTGAAATCAAGCCATTGCTCATCGGCCCTAAAATGCTGTATAAACTGGAGACCAAAATATTAGTATCTTGAACCGTTCCAAGGTGGTTACCTCCTCCCGGTGGATATGGTAGCGGACTGGCCCATCAAGATCCTGCTCAGCCTCCTCCTCAGCCTGCTGCTCAGCCCCCTCCTCAACAACTCTTACTCTTGCCCTTATTTTTACGGAAATCGTCCCGTGGACGCGTAAGGATAGCACAATCTTGGTCAAACCAGCCCGGATCGTTGACCAGCCAAGAAGGGAGAGGTCGGCAGTCCCATCTATTAGCCTCAGAGCTCTGGTAGCACTGTCCCGGTAAATGTACCAAATCTGGTCCAACGGCCGCCATTCCCGCACTCGTATTGCTGGAAGAAACGCCCATAAATTAGCGTACTCTTTGGGATAAAATATCGCAACGAAGACATCTTCACCAAGCTGATTTTGGTATAGATTCACAGGTCTTCTTACTAAAGGCTGCGCGCCGTCACCTCTACCACCTCCATCGCTGCCGCCTTCACCTCCACCACCTCCGGCGTCGCCGCCTTCACCACCTCCGGCGTCACCTCCATCGCCTCCATCATCTTTGCCACCTCGGGCATCGCTCTCGAAACTACCACCTCCGGCGTCGCCTCCACCACTGCTGCTGCCGCCAGCTTGGTGGTGTCCTTGTCCACCACTAGGGTCCAGGCCAGAGGCAGTAGTGACCAGATCCTACAAAACCATCATAAAGTTGAAAATTATCAAGCTACACCTCGCAATGAACCAATTTGCTACAAAAAATGATTGTCTGCAAAGAATGGCAAATTTAGTCATCTTATAGTCAATCTCAGGACCAAAAACTGGTTTTGGCCTTTTTCTAGGAGAAGAATTGGAGCAAGAATGCGAAGAGAGGGCTACTTCGGGATGATTATTTTCAATTTCTCAGACGAAATGGGAAAAAAATTCAGCCTGGAAAAAGAATGAAGTAGGAGAAGAATCTATCGCTTGCGACTATTGACGGTGAGAGAAGGAAAAAAATATGAATTTTTGGAAGAAAGAAGGGATCTTTGGATCTGGGTTGAGGATAAATGGTTTTGGGTTTTCTGGGAAAGTTATGATTTTCTCGGGAAAATTTGGACGGTGCGAGAAAGGGGGAATATTTGGGATGATAGAGAGGAGAGAAGGGAGAGGGGAAGGAAGGAAGGAAAGAGGATTGATTGATGCAAGGAATAGGAAAAGAGATGGATTCGTGGGTACTATATGATATCATACTATTACATTTTCTTATAGCTACATAAACTTTGTTTATTTAACTTTATCATTTACATTTATCTATGTAAATATTTGTTTTTATTTATTTAATTTTGTTGGATTGTATCTGATATGTGAGAAATAAACAAAAAAAGAAAATGTTAATTTGGTGAATGATTGTCCAACTACCATCTTTGA